GCCACCCTCCGTGGCGTTATACCCCATAAGAACAGCATTTGCTCCAATGGTTAAAAGTACAAACTGCGTAAATAAGACATTAATCTGACACATTTATCATTTATAGCAACAAAAGGAGTGTGATAATAATTTTATAATAATTATCACATTTTATAAGGTGATTAATCTGGTAAAAACGTAGCTAAAAAAAAGACAATTTTACTTAATAAATAGAAAAACCTGAGAACCCTAAGGTTGTCTGATAGGTGTGCGATGATTTAATATATTTTGATTTTAAGTGTAAATGAAATAGTTGTGATACTTAGTGTCAATTTTAATAAAAAATACTTTGTTCTAGAAATGTGTTAGACTATGATGTCATCCTAAAATAAAATTTTGAAGTATAAGTCAGACTTTTATTTATGACAATTTAGTCAGAATTTTTGTTTGTGGTAACCTTGTGTGTATCACGGAATTCCAGAACTTACATCAGCTCTTATAGCAAGAAATAGTAATAAGATCCATGTTTTCTCTATACTATTCAACAAATCTGCCATCAACTTATATAAACTTATACACATCTTACAAAGGCTTCAAACTGTCATTTGTTTATTTTTTATTCTCATAAATAAGGTCAGCACTACAAAGGCTCTAACATATTTTGCTCATACTTGTGGATAAAATAAGATTTTTAAATAAAATGCAATCTCTTTATGCTTTTATTCTTTTTATTTTTTTCATTATACCGAGTATAATCAAATCAATTACTTCTTGGTANATCTCAAAAGTTAGGAAATTGTGCAAAGAGCAGGTGGTCCAAAAAACAGAAATAAATACCAAAATAAGGCTAAATTGTAGACGTAGATAAAAATTTTTTAACAATTGTTTCTTAATTTTTCTCTTTTTATGCCCTGAATTCCGGATATCTTATTTGTATTTTCTGGCATACGACAAAGTAGCTACGCTGTTAAGCTTAGAAACAATTCTAGATCCCCTTAAATATCATATGTCTGAACTCATGCGTTCAGTGAGTATGACAATTCACTTTTACAACCTCCTGCTACGCAGTACTGCTCATAATATATTAACAATTATTGGTGCATGTCCTGCAGGCATTTTTGTTTCACCCTAACCTTCTCTCTAATCTTTTCTTTTAATCAGGCACAATCCCGTTAGTAAGTACATTATTTTATTGATTGAGCGCCCTTTTTTGGGGTTATATTAGAAATCATAAGCCAGCGATTTGTAGGTTTGTATGAGTTTTATTATTTCATTTTAAAGTAATAATGTTCTGATAATTACGAGGCCATTTCTGTTGCAACAAAAAACAACAAAAATCGAAATTCGATATTAAAAAAAAACTAAAAATTAGCCTTAAAACTCCTGCACATGATACGTGAGACATGCTAATTAAAGTTAGAAAAAAACATCTTTTGTTACAGTAAAACTTTTATTAAACAACTTCTTGTAAGGTAATAATATTATTCTCTTCCTTTCACTGTGTACAGAGTTGCATTACTGCAATTCACTATATTCGATGTACGAACATTCGGAAATGCCTGCCAATTACTCTGTACTTCATACTTTTGGAGCACTTTAATTAAAGGTACTCTGTTATCCGGTGCGTTTTTCTAAACAGCTTTACTTTTCTATATTACTCTGCATCTGCTTATTCTCTATACAGTTATGAAATAAATCACTTGTATACGAAAGGAAGAATGTAAAGAGAGATGAATCACCTTAGAATACTTTTTTGACAGTATCTGTTAAACGTGAAATTAACTTTGTGTAGATTTATAAGATACTGCCATGATTTTTGAAAAAAAACTCTGCTTAATTTACAATATTTGTCTCACAACAAATATTTCTGGTATAATTAAGTCCCAAAACCATTTTTCTATGTATTCTAATAATAGCGTGAAGTGAATACTATGTCAACTCTTCTGATAATACAGTTATAAATATGCGATAAAGAGGTCATTTTCGGGTTTGGGTAAGAAATCCTGTCACCTTTTCTTGGGCCGTTTGATGTACTCGTAATACTAAGTACTGACAAATACCCAAACCTTTTATAGTCTCCTACCTGGGTCATCTTCACATTGGATATCAAAAGGGCCGGCGATTATTCTCAAGAAGTATTTTTCAGTAAAGTAGTATGTTATAGTTTATGTATGAACCGTGACGCCATGACCTCATAAATAGTCAACCTACAGTGACTATTCTCTCCGCAATTAGCCGCATATTATTACAAAAAAACGTCACATACAAAATTTTCTGGCTGAATAGTTTTATAAAGATTATTTACTAATCAAACATAAAATTTTCTCACTATGCAATATATTTGTTTTCATTTTGCTAAAAAAAACTGTGTAACGAGTTTTACCTATACGCTGTAGCGTTACTAACATTTACACTTTACATTTTATTTTTCGTCGAACAGTGTGAAATAACGACAGTTCACTCTAATTTTGTAGCAAAGTAATTATATAACTGACAATAAAAATACTTTTAAACTTTAGATTATAGACAATTGAGTGGCATACCCTTATGACCAAAAGATTTTTTTCAAGTACTAATGAGCTATATCCACTTACACTGCCTTATGAAAATGCTTTTACCTATGCCACTCATGCAATGTCTACACCAGAATTCCACCTGTCACAAGTATTAAAATTTCTAAATCTATCTGGTAAACCTGTTGTAAACTTAAGTTTTATTCCACATCATTATTATTAAATGTATGTGTTGAAAACAAATATGTATAATTTGTTGCGTATGAATCACTAAAAAATGTTTTTTGCTTCAGATTTGCAACGAAAAAGTGGTTTTCTACACAACTGGTTTTATTAAGAAACAAACTTTTTACGAATCCCCCTGTAAACTCTTAGCATTTCCACTTGGTACATCCAGGAAAGTGGTTTTCACTTTAAAGAAAGGAGATCCGCTCCGTAAATTTTTGAACCATCAGTAAGTATCTTCAAAAAAAAATTTAATAATGAGAAGTCATAACAATGTCTTTTTTTCAGTATTCAGAAATACAGAGAAAGTGGTTTACTATCTTGGGAAAAAAAACTGCATCTTGTAAAAAAAGAATCCATAAATGATATTTCATTGAGTATTACTGACGTCACTCCGTTGCTAGTACTATTAATTAGTGGATTTGTCCTAAGCTTAATAATATTTTTATTCGAAAAGTATCATAGTCACTTAATATTATTTTTAATAAGGAAACCATGCAAGAAAATAAAAAAACTCAGGAAAACTAAGAAAACCAATACTTTATATAACAATGGAAAAAAATTTTCAGTTTACTCTCAATACAGGAATGCGCAACAGCGCCCTCCATGGCCTTATACCCCATAAGAACAGCGTTGGCTGTGATGGTTGAAAGTACTAACTACGTAAATAAGACATGAATCTAACACATATATCATTTATGGCAAGAAAAGAAGTGTGGTAATAATTGTATAATGATTGTCAAATTTCATAATGTAATAAGTTTGGTAAGAACATAGCTAATAAAACGACAATTTTACAAAATCAATAGAGGAAAGCTGAGAGCCCAGAAATTGTCTTTTTGTTGTACGATTATTTCATATATTTTGATTTTAATTGCAAATAAAATAGTTGTAATACTTAGTGTAAATCTCAAAAATAAATTCTTTGTTCTTGAAATGTATTAGACTATTGTGTTATCATAAAATAAAATTTCTAAGTATTAGTCAGACACTTATTAATGACAATTTAGTCAGTATTTTTGTATGTGGTAACCTTGTGTGTATCACGAAATTCCACAACTTACATCAGCTCTTATAGCAAGAAATAGTAAAAAGATCCATGTTTTATCTATACTATACAACAAATCCACCATTAACTTATAGAAACTTATACACAGCTTACAAGGGCTTCTAACTGTCCTTTGTTTATTTTTTATTCTTACGAATAAGGTCAGCACTACAAAGGCTCTAACATATTTTGCTCATACTTGTGGATAAAATAAGATTTTTAAATAAAATGCAATGTCTTTATGCTTTTAGTTTTTTTATTTTTTTCATTTAGGTATTAAATTATCAAAAACTTTTGACATTTTTATTTGTCCATACTTTAACAACCAGCTCATTTCTTGAAGGAAAACGAATACACAAGACGTCGTTGGAGTGGTATCCTGCCTTAATTCTTTCCAAATCACACTGATCTGGAATGTCAAACGTCCTAAAGGTTTCGTCTACTTGATTTTTCTTGGTACCCTGAAGTAACATCGATTTACCTCTGACGTAAAAAATAAAACCATTATTTTAACTGACAACTATAGATAGATAGGCGGATGAAGAATGAGATAATTAATTTTCTGTTGATTGCCATCAAACTTGTTAAAATTGCTTCGTATCATAATTAGATTATACAGAAAAATAGTTTCAGGGCATTATCGTTATTAGTTTTAAATTTTAATCTTAATATTTTATAAAATAAATGTGCAACACAAGAAATTGTTCTAACATTGACGCCGTACATTTAACTGTGTGGCAACGAATTTCATTTTATGGAGTGTATTTCAAGATAATTTTAAAAAATTCTAGTGACGCGTTTCCAGCAATAGTTACTAACCAATCAATTGTGACAGTTACACATTTAACAATTTTTACGTACATAAACAATATAAAATGAAGTATCATACTTGAATACTTTGACGTGCTGTACTGTTTTTAGAACAGAAGATTGCATGTATTTAGTCGTTGATGCATGGGGAAAAATAGATATTCTCTTCGATGTACGAACATTCGAAAATGCCTGCCAATTACTCTGTACTTCATACTTTTGGAGCACTTTAATTAAAGGTACTCTGTTATCCGGTGCGTTTTACTAAACAGCTTTACTTTTTTATATTACTCTGCATCTGCTTATTCTCTGTATAGTTATAAAAATCACTTGTATACGAAAGGAAGAATGCAAAGAGAGATGAATCACCTTAGAATACATTTTGGACAGTATCTGTTAAACGTGAAATTAACTTTGTGTAGATTTATAAGATACTGCCATGATTTTTGAAAAAAAACTCTGCTTAATTTAAAATATTTGTTTCACAACAAAAAACTCTGGTATAGTTATGTCCCAAAACCATTTATCTATGTGTTCTAATTATAGCGTGAAGTAATTTCACAATATTTGTTGTAGTCGCATAAATTTCTTATTGAACATTTTTGAGGCTTCTTTAATTTGCTATTAGTTTTTTCATGAGATTTACTTTATACAAATTAATTACACTTTATTACAAGAGTCTTGAGAGTTAAAAGATTTTCCTACTCATGAAATATAAAAAAATCCTCAAAGACTTTTTTTATTTTATTTTAGGATAACGTATGCAAAACATAAAACGTTTAAAAAATAAATGAAGAGAGGGACAAAGGAAGATTGTTCGATACTGACAATGACCTTACTTGTGTCTATGTCAAATTCAACACATTCCAACTCCGTCTGGTAGACCTTTTTTTTATAAAACCACAATTTTGTTCAGTTTCGACTAAAAATCTTAGAGAAATTCAAATATTGAAATGCAATTGACAAATGGTCTTACCTGATTACTGATAGATAAAGGGCAATAATCTTTGCTGGGTTTTAGGTCCAATTGCCTTGTTTCTTCGGTGGCCTTGATAAAACAGATAGGTAGATGAGTTTCACTGCGACAAAATGAGACGCCAGTCATTATAGCCTCTTTTTCGTTTCGTTACTTCATTTGGTACGTTTACTAATTACTGTTTAAAGGTATGTGTGTCAAGAGGTATCATGGAATCTCGTTACGTACGCGTAAGTATCAAAATAAAAGGGAAATTTAATTAAAATCGCCAACTCAACCAAAAGCCTCCTCAGCGTAGTGGTTACCGATGTTCTATGCTGCTAAATTTATTTACAAAATTTCTTGAAACAGCTTTATCAACAAGAAATGTCATCTTTTGATGAAGATACTGTTTTACTGGACGTACGTTAACTCGATTCTTCAAAGATAACATTGCGAGAGACTAGAAGGAGCTCTATCTTCTTGGCGAAAGAGATCGATGTCTGAGTGTTTATATAGTACGTGTAAAAAAAGGAAGGAAAATATGTTACGCTATAGCTAAGTAGAGCTAGGTAACGAGTTGCTTCGATGGCCTTGGGTTGCTTTTTTGTGATATAATCTTTAGTTTTTTATAAAAACTAGGACCAATCAAAGCAAACTTTTGCAAATAAAATGAAATAGTAACTATATACGATTATTTGATGATGTT